GGCCAACGTGGGCTGGAACGGCTCCACCTTCGCCTGAGGGCCCCGCCGCCCGACCCTTCAGCCCCAGACCCCGACACCCGCTCCCAGCGCCCCCACCTCCTGGTCGGGGAAATAAACCGTTTGGAAACCACGGCTGCCTCGACTTCCTTGGCTTGTGGCGACATTGGTGCTGGGCGGGGACAGTGATGGGGAACCAAGGCTCAGAGAGGTGCCCTCAGAATCGCCGCTGGGTGCCTTTTGACCAGCCCCCCCCACCTTGCCTAGCAGGAGGCCAGTCTGGGTTGGCATCCTGCCTGTGTCCACAGGCCGGGGAATCAAACTTGAATGGGAGCCTCTCGTGTCCTATTTAAGACGCTTGTGGAGTCGGTTCCGTTCCTGCCCGCGGGGGCAGGGCCACCACGTGGGCTAGGGCTGGGCGGGAAGGGGGCCGGGGCTCAATGTGGCTGGGCTTTCCTGGCCCAAGGTCACCCCCAATAGGGCGACCGTGGACAATTTCAGCGCCTGGACCTGGACCACTGGGGGCCTTGGCTGCCCTGCGGCTCATCCTTCCTCCGGGCACGCTGCTGCCCAGGCCAGTTGCCTGGGCCCGAAGGCCTGCCCCCTGCAGTGTGAGCCTCCATGTACCCTGGCAGCAGATGCCAAGCCAGGCCCAGCCACTGGCACTGGCCATGGCGCTCGTGGGCGGGGCCAGCTCAGCCTTTCCCTGCCTGCCCTGGGGGAGACCTAACTGTGCCCGTTGCCCAGAGGGGACCCCTCCGGCCGCTGAAGGAACACCATTCCTGGGGACTTGGCAGAGGTGGGGCCTCGCCTCGGACCCCCGTGGCCTGAGCCTTGAGGCTGGGGGCTCTCCGCTCTCCCTCAGCCTCTAGGCAAGAACCTCGACAGGAGACGATTTTAAAGTTCCTCGGAATTTGAGCGAATTCGCTTAGGGGAGCCGAGGAGCTCGAGGGAGAAGGGGAATTGCCGGGAGCCTGGGACCTCTGACGCCGGGAGTGAGGGACAGGCCTGCCTCGGAGCCACAGGAGCGAGGAGCGCCTTCCCCGGGAGGGCTGCCGGTGCCCAGTCCGTGGCGCTTTCCACCTGGGTCCACCCTCGGATGGCTGCTGCTCAGTCCCGGGTGGGAAGGGTTTACTTCCAGAAAAGCGGTGAGAAGGGAGAGTCAGCTCAAAGTCAAGAAGGGTGTGGCCCAGCTGTGGGGGCTGGCTCCCCTTCCCCTCCTCTCCAGTCCCCTCAGACTCATTCTGTCCTCCACAAAAGGCCACGTGCCCTCACGTCTGTCTGTCTCTGTCTGTCCTTGTTGGGGCCTGGCAGCCTCGCTCCTCGCCCTGCGGGCCTGTGCCTTCTGCTTGTCCTCCATCTGCCCACCGAGGTCCACGCCAGGTCCTTCTGGGGAGCCCTACCTGGGGCCGCCCCGTGCATGGCGTCAGCACCGCCCGCTTCTCTCCCTCCCTGTGCCCTGGGCCTCCCGCCTCGCCGGGCATGCAGCCGGCACACACACCCACTGCCCTGGCCTGGGCCTCCGCGGAGACCCCTGCCTCCACCCAACTCCCCTCAGTCTTCTGCTCTGCCCCCTCTCCGGCCTCAGTTTCCCCCATCTGTGAAATGAAGGTATTCACCAGACCTGGCTGAATTTCCTGGCTCAGCGTGACAGGAAATTTCCCAGCCTCAGAGCATGGCGGGCGGGGAAGGACCCAGAGGGCCGCGCCTGTACTCAGGTCTTGATAAATTGTGAAGCCCCTCCTGGGCGGGAGGGGAGCTGGAGGTGGACGAGGGAGGAGGCCCAAGTGGGGTTCAAGGTCCTTGTGGGTTTGCAGCGGGAACCTTCACTGTGGACCTGGTCCCTCCAAGGGGCCCCCCAGTCACAGGAGCTGGCGGGCCGGGCCGGGGGCCAGTCCCCCGTTGCAGTGCCGAGCGGCCCTCCGCTCCCTGGGGGAGGCCAGCCTGTTGGTAAATGTTTCCCTCCACGTCCCGCAAGGATCAGGGTTCAGGACCTGGAATAGGAGCCGCACACAAATGAAAGAGAAGAGACAAGAGATAACTGGAAATATTGGGGGCCCAGGCGGGCAAGTCCAACTCAAGGGGAAGAACTTCCACTGGTGCTCAGGCCTCACCCAGCTGTTACTGATCTGGGATGCACCCATAGCATAGCCCTTACACAGGCGACCCCGGCAACAGGCAGACTAGCCCATCAGCAAGGATTTACATAATAATAGATGGGGAAGTTGCTTCAGCTACCACTGTCTGGACAAACAGAGGTGGGCCCAGCTCCGACCTTTGCTAGGGCTTACAGGTACCCAGCCTTGGGGGAGGGGGCGGGGGGGGGTCTCTGTCTACGCTTACCAGCTGGTGAAGACAACAGGTGGTCTTCCACACCAGCCAATCCCAGCAGCGGAAGTTCCAGTATTTCTGGGCTGCCCATGTCTTCCGTGACTCCTCACCTCCCTGGTCAACTCAGTGTGTCCCCCCCAAACGTGTTTCTGCGAATCCCTCACCGGCCAGCCCAGCCCAGCAGCTGCAAAGCCAGGTCCCTGCCCTCGAGTCTCCCCCAGAACCGGGGGCGGGAGCGGGGTGTGTCCCTCCTGGTTGCGTGAGCACAGGGCCTCATTCCTGGGTTTGAAGCCCGCATAAAGAGACAAAAATGGCCAGTTTTCAGAAATCGGCTCTGTCCCCTCATGGCGAGAGCCTCGGCCCCAGTCTGGGGCCAGGAGGGTCCGGACTCTGTATTCTCATGGGTCTAGACCCGAAAACATCCAGACGGTCTGAATCCAAAAATTACAAATGAGATGCCCCATCCTGGCCCCCAAGGCCATGTCCCTGAGGCTCTTCTAGGCACTCTGAGGGTCCCTTCCTGCCTCCTGCCTCCCGGGGGGCCCTCTCTCAACTCCTAGAGGCATTTAATGCAAATACGCGCCCCCCCCCCCATTGTAGCATATTCCATGTGAGCTCTGCATTTGCCTTTTTACTTGAAAGTCGGTCTCAGCGCCTGAAGAGTCTCCCCGCTCCCCTCAGGA